GCACGACATAGGTGCACTTAAATACATGCAGGCAAAACACTCATACACATAAGAATAATAAAATATTTTTAAGTGCTTTGAGGGAGCAGGCTCAGCGTATAGAGGAGCTGTAACATTCTTAGAAGGCTTCAGTTCTCCCCTCTGTTCAATAAGGAGCAAGTGTACTGTCATTTCTGTTTGAAGGCACACACCCAGGACCTGCCCTTAGCCCTCTGTCCCAGATGGAATTAATGACATTGGAATTGTATCTCTGTCATCTTGTGCTCAAATACCCTAGCTGACTTGTAACAAGAAAGAATTAGGGCACAGCTCAAACACAGAAATGGAAAAAGAAATGGGCTAAAATCCACAGGGAGAACTTTCTATTTCTTCATCTGTCTCCTGGCCCAAATAGCTGGGCTCTTCTCCCCAGGTTTGTGTTTATGTGTTACCGTTCTTTCTCTTGTGGCAGACATCAACAGACTGGTGGTCCCAAACTAGGTCAGGGACAATGGTGATGAATTGATACAGCCCTCTGGATCCTTATTCTGTGCGCTCAAGCCTGCCTTCCATTCTCCAGCAAGCTCTCTGTGCTATCTAAGTGTGGTTCCTGGTCCCCAGAACCACGGGAGCTCAGGGGGTCTCTGGTCCCCTTGGAGCTCCTCAGCCCTCATAGCTGGCAGAAGACAGGGAGTCCCTGAATGTTTTCTCAGCACTTTGCCTTTCACAGTTCCAAGTCCTCTCCTTGTTCCATGATGATGCTAAGAAAGTTATCATAAGACAGTTATCCACTTGTGACAGCAACCACAGAACCACACTGGTCTTCTAGAATGTCTCATCAGGGGCTTGTTTCAAACATTCAAGTTCAGGTTTGGGGTTTCAGGTTTTGTGATATAGCTTGGGGCATGAAGTCCTAGGTTCAATCCTTGGAAGGAAGGAAAGAAAGATGTAGGGAAGGGAGGGGAGGGAGAGGGAAGGAAAGGAAAGAAAGAATTCAGAAGTAAAAGCCCAGCGTGGTGGCTCATGCCTGTAACTCTAGCGCCTAGGAGGCTGAGGCAAGAGGATTTTCATGAGTTTGAGACCAGTCTGGGACATACTGAGTTCCAGGTAAGCTGAGCTACAGCATGAGACCAACTCAGAGAAACAAAGCCAAACAGGCAGAACAGCAAATTAAAACAGACAAGATCCAGGCCGGGGCTCCCCAGGGCAATTGAGACAGCATTTCTGTTCTAGGTAGAGAGCAGGCTCTCGGTCAAATAAACCTTATTTTAAATTCCAAGAAACAGACATGAAGAAAAAGTGGCTTCTCAGTATGGCACAGTAAGTGTCAGAATCCAGTCAGCCGCCCCCCACCCCATCCTCACTTCCCGCCCAACCATTCCTTCTCCAGAGCTTGGTGTGGCCTTTGCTGTCTCATGTAAAGCTTTCCCTACCCACAATCTCCCTCCTTCATTATGTTCTGTTAATAATCTAAATGAAAACTTCTCTTTTCCTCAAGATGTTCTTCAGGAGAATAGATATGACCCACTGCCTAGTGTTGATTCCATCGTAAGTATTGAAACAAAAGTCCTGGTGGGCACAATGAACTTAGGAGGATTTGCCTTTCCCACTGGAGCTTTAAAAACTAAGCCTGGTGACACATCCTGGTTACCCCTGCACTCAGGAGGGTGAGGCAGGAGGATCAGGAGTTTGAGGCCTGCCTGGGCTATAGAGTGAGTTCAAGGTCAGCCTGAGCAGCTTGGTAAAACCCTGCTCATTGGTGGAGCATTTTCCTGACATGCTCAGGCCCTGTCTCTTGGTTTCCACTTCTGTATATTTGTGAGAGTGTTGGGAGAACGTGCCCCCAAAGACCCATGGCAGCTCCTAAGTCACAGTGTGGAGAAGCTAAAGTGTAGTGAGGACTTCAGAGACTGACCTTTTAGACAGCACATTGCCAGCAGGGCGTTGTCCTTCCTCTCTCCTGGAGGGACACTGGTCAACTCTGTCTGCAGGTGAAGAATCAGACATGGTCCTGAAAGAACATCACAAGGGCAGACAGAAGCCAGGAAGGCCTTTAGTAGTTAGATGGGCTGAGGGCATCCTGAGAACTTGAGGTTCAGGTTGAAGCTTCAAGCTGTGTAGACACCTGAAAGCCAGACTAACACCTTCTAGAAGTCAGAGGAAAGGATCCCACAGTCTGATATGTATTGAGTGAAGACCCGTGCATGCCTCAAGATCCCTAGTCCCCATGCAGGTGCCAGGTGGAAGGACACCGGGTGTCCTGCTCTACCACTCGTAGGTGCCAGGTGGAAGGACGCCAGGTGTCCTGCTCTACCACTCGGTGCCAGGTGGAAGGACGTCGGGCGTCCTGCTCTACCACTCGTAGGTGCCAGGTGGAAGGACACCGGACGTCCTGCTCTACCACTCGTCCTCTCTTATTCCCTTGAGACATTCTATCACTGAACCTGGAGCCAGGCTGGCAGCCAGCAAGCCCCAGCAAGCCTGTCTCCACTCCCAACAGCCTAGGGTTACAGGTACAGCAGGACCACACTGGGCTTTTCATGAGGGTGCTGGGGACTTGAACTTGGGTATTCATGCTTGCCCAGCAAGTGCTCTTACACACTGAGCCAGCTCCCCTGCTCAGGAGCTAGGTTCTTTACAAAGGAGAGGAAACTTGTTTAACTTCCTTTTCTTGGGGGCACGATCCCATCTGTGTAGTCTTATTTCCCTTCTTGAGACTCCCACAATTCTTTGATTGATTGATTGATTGATTGATTGATTGATTGATTGATTGATTGATAGGGTCTCTTTAGTTCCAGTCTGCCTGGAACTCAACTTGAGAACCAAGACCGGGCTAGCCGCAATGTCACAGAGATCTGCCTGCCTCTGCCTCCCCAGAGCTAGGATTAAAGGTGTTTGCCACCTCACCCAACACAATTCTTGAGGCAGTGCTGAGCCTTTACAAAACCATGTACTGATTCTTTCTGCCCTTACCCATACAAGGATGACTTCTCCACCCATCTGCCTTTGGTTCGGGTGATAACAAGTCACCCTGGTCTGAAATCTCCCTGGAGCCAGGCAGGCAAGAGAAATTCTCTGCTCCTCCCCCTCTGCCTCTGAACGAGTGGTACAAACAAGGCAGATTTCCCTTTGACCTTTGTTCTTTTCTGTTCACAGCTCAAGGAATCCCATGCCTATAAAAACCCTCACATTTAAAAAAAGATGCTACAGCTTTTTCCTTCTCCCTTACAAAAGTATGCCAAGGTACCTCAGAAAACAGTGTCAAGTATTATCTCACCTGGTTGGAAAATTTACACTCCTGTGTGATTTCTGGAAGGATTGTCACTGCAACCCCTTCTGGTGGTCTGAAATGTAGTCCCACCATCCAACAGACTCTCATTCAGCTGATAACTAGAATGGCTTCCAAGCTCTTGATCCTCTTCCTTAATTCTGTCTTTCCCACAACCCTCGTGGCTTTGGATAGAGTCCCAAGACTTGAAGGCCAAGGAACCCTGACTGCCACAGTCTGTCATTGTGCATTTCTTTCCTACCCTGTCACCAGAACATTCGGGCCTCAGCAGTTTTCCAGTCCTGAATCCTAGTTAGCCTGCTAATCATGATCTCTAAGAGCCAAACAGTCTTCATGGGGCTCAGGACCAGATGACAGCTATGGAAACAAAGGTGGGGAATAAAATTCTAGGGAACCTTCTGGAAACAACTTTGATAGGTCAGGATGAAGCTAAAAATGGAGAGAGGAGTTGAAAGTGTTTATTTCATGAGCTACCCATTGGTTGACTTTTCCTATAGATAGGTGAAATTAGTATCTGTCTCTAAATTGGAATGTCATCCACTGCCCGAAGAATGGCTCATCCAAGTTCATCGTGACAAAAAAAGTGAATTTATTAGGGTTTACTTATGGAGCAATAGATGGCAGAACAGCTAGCTGTATTTTCCCAAAGTTTCTCTCCTCCCCCCTTCCCTCCCCCTTCCCCCTCCTCTTCCCCTTCCTCCTCCTCCTCTATCTCTGGCTTTCGCTGTTAGCTGGGTGGAGCGGGGTTGGAAGGGCCTGGAGACTCTCTCTCTCTCTCTCTCTCTCTCTCTCTCTCTCTCTCTCTCTGCTCCTGTTTTATATGGTTCTAAATCTACAGAAGAATTTATATAAACCTGGGTTCAGAGTCTACCTAGTGTTAAAGCAGAGTACGTATAGGCTCAGAAAACAAGATGCAGACCCTACTCTGGGAAAGTTCTCTGCCTGTGTATACTCCATCCTTACCCTCATTAGAGGGTCTGCGGGTCTTGGTAAATGCTGACCAGGATGGCTTGTTTTTCTGTAGTCTGGCACATAGAATAACTGTCAGCTTGCTGCAAGATGGAGGGACTCTGGCTAGGATTCAGAGGACTGATCTCACTATCCTACTGCCCTGGAGAGAAAGGAAACAGGTTGAGTAGAAGTCCGCTCAGAACACATAAGAGCAGGCAGGATCTAGAACAAAGAGCCATCCCAAGGTAGAAGGTTCCAGGTTTTCATCAAGGTCTTGGTAGGTGTTTTCCCCTGTAGTTGTGAGGAACTCTCCTAGAATTAGGTCCACCCATGTGGCAGGTGGGAATTTTTGGCCCTGCTTGCTTCAAGCATGACCGTCACAGTGCAGGGGTGGGTGGTTGGTTGGTTGACTGGCTGGTTGGTTACCTGGTTGGTTGGTTGGTTGGTGGGTTGGTTGGTTGGTGGGTTGGTTGGTTGGTTGACCAATTTCCAAGCCACTTTTCTCAGCCATATATTTACTTACTGCCTTGTCTAACCCCATACCACTTCCTTTGGAAAGATGCCCCATATGAACCCTAGGAGAGAGAGGGCTCGCCCTGCTTTCTGGTCTCACATGGACTCTGCTGTGATGCCCCAGCTATGTGCTGTGTGGTCCTCTACCTGTGTAACTAGCTCAGGTACAGTAAGTTGCCTGAGAGTTACCCCTGAGAACTTAAGTCCACCCCCCCTTATTTTATCCACTGAGAAGGACACTTGGTTTGGGAGACAATTTCATATTTAATCACCAGGTTGATAGAAATATCACAAAATATAAGAACAAGATGGCCCAGTGTGAGAGCGGCAAACTGTACCCGGAGTCTGACATGTATGTAATAGGCTTCCCTTCCTTCACTGTCTCCTGGATAATCCACTTCAGATAATTTGACACCTTGGTGTATACTCCGGGAATGTTCTTCTTGCCACAGCCCACGCCCCAGCTGACAATGCCCACCTGGTACCACCTGCTGCTGTCTTTCCCTTTATTGCAAACCAGAGGTCCTCCACTGTCACCCTAGGAGAGAAGAGTTGTTTGGGAATAGAAGAACAGTAAACAAGTCATTCCTGGAGCTGGATGATGTGTAGGCAGCTGACAAAAGGTGCTCCAGGGGCCTTGGGTGTCTGGTGATGGCAGAGTTTCTGACTTTTTCTGTTCTCCAGTCACATGGCTATGACAATGGATAGGTGAAACAATTTAGTCAGAAGCGATGTGACCAGTGACAATTTGATTAAAGACCAGTTTCCACTACCACCATCATCACCACCTAGTTCATCATTGACTAATGTGTAATTAGTTTTGGTGTACCAAGGAAGGCTTTGTACCCCACTTGGTCTTAAAGCACTTTTCCTCCATTACCATAATTCTTCATGTTTCCCCTGCCTTCTCACATCAAATCCATCATTTACCAGCCCAAATTTTCTCTTTCTGTGAAGGACACAAAAAGTGAAAAACAAAAAACAAAAATCCGTTATGCCTCATAACAGGTTGACTAGACCAGACATACAGATATATACCAAATGCAAAAAGATGAATATTATGTTAAAATGTTATACTTAAAGCAATAAATTTTAAACAACTCAAGGGGAAAAAAATAAATCCAAAGCCACCACACAGGGAGACAGTTATCTGCAGACTAAGGCATGGTTAGAATGAGGCATCTACAAGTCTAGGAATATCACACCCTTCTGGTCACACCATGAACTAGAGGAGGTGGCCATGGCCAGCTCCTTCCCAGAGCTGGAAAAGGAGCACAGCCTCACCTACATCTTGATTTGGGGCTTGTGGTCACTGAGCTGTGAGGGGATCATGGACATTTATTAAAGTTACCCAGCCTGTGGTTATCTGTTACAGTGGCCTCGGGGAACTGCTGTGACATCTCATCCACAGCACGGAGAAGCCAGCCACCCTCCCCAGATAGAGCCCAGCCCGTTACCTGGCAGGTGTCCTTCCCAGCTTTTCTGTTTACAGCACACAGCATGTTCTTGGTTAATAAGGGTAAAATATGGAAGCACCAGTCCCAGTTGATTAGCTCAAGGTTAACTTTCTGCAGCTTTTTAGATAGGGTTTCCGGTAAATCTGGGTCAGAGAAGTAGGAGAGCTTCAACCAAAGTGGTCCCTTTAAGTTGAGTGCCAGGACCCACCCACACCATCCCAGTGATATGAGAACTTCCCTTGGCCCAGGGAACAATCAAATTTTATGTGAGTGTGGGAGAGGGAGAGGTGCTGAGACTCTCAAGACTGTCAAGATCCCTTAAATGGCCATAGTTCCCTAGGCCTGGGTCCCCACTCCATCTCGGCCAGAGCTCAGAAACTTCCAGCCCTGCAGAAGACACCAGCTCCAACTGGAGTTCTGAAAAGGTGTTTTGTTCAAATCTGACTGTCAGGAGAACCCAGGCAGATGAATGAGCTTGTACCATGCCAGGTCCCTTGAGACATTCACTGTGGAAGCACACTCACTCCCCAGGACGGAGATGCTTCCTCTCCAGGTGTTGCCAAATCCTGTTTCTGGAACACTTGAACAGAAGAGGTCAATGCGTGCGTGTGCGTGTGTGTGTGTGTGTGTGTGTGTGTGTGTGTGTGTGTAACAATGTTTGAGGACTTATTGGTTAAGAAGTTGGCCCTTTTTTTTCTTTTTTCTTTTAAGTTCATGAAAAACATCTAAGAATAACTCCCACAAGGTTCAGGACTTTGGACTCACACGAGAATAGATGTTCAGCCATTTGAGTGCCTACTTAGAAGAACAGCTGCCTGTGGTGTGCTCCCTGCTCTGTGGATTGTTGGGCTAGACACATTTAGTAAGAACACAGATGAAAGGGTTCATTTTGTAGGCTTAGCTGGGAAAGGTGTGGGAGAGGATTGCAGATTATTTCTATAAGGAAAGCTTTATATTCAGTGTATCTCCTCTCCTTGGCCTGGACAAATTGTTTTCAAATAGTTTATTCAGAGTCCTTTACGTCAGGATAGTAAAGCTGCCGCCATCAGTTGGGGCAGAGCTGCTTTGGCTGGCTACAGGTTGCTTCCTGAAAGTCTATCCATGTTTTGCTGCCTTTTGTCCTTCCATATGTCTCTCATAATTCTTCCAAGTGACCTTTTGGGATTGGAAAACTTCTGCCTGGGTTTCCCCTGAGGTGCTGTCCAGGGTTCATGTTCTAACAGTGTGAGTCTAGGTATGGAAGAAGTCCCATGAAGGATGGCTCCTTGAGGGGGCTGAGGATAAGGTGTGTCATGGACCTTCGGTGAGAATCCCCAGAGCCACTAGGGATTCCAAGGGCCAACAAAGCTTCTAAAATTTTCTAACCTCTCCAAACACCAGCTAGGTGCCACCCTATCTGCCCAACAGTTAGTAACACTCACTGGCCTTGGTAATACCCCATCCAGTCACCCAGCAGTTACTCCAGGCCTTTATGTCCAAGACCTCTGAAAGGCAGACAGGTACACTGTTGATATCCAGGTTTAGTGGGAATTCGAGCAGGAGCAGAGCTATGTCATTGTCCACGAGCCAGCCGTCAAAAAAAGGATGTGTAATTAATGTTTCCACTTTCACATATTTCAAGTTCTTAGTATTTAAGTCATCTTCACCATATACAATCTCCAAGTAAGAGCTTATTTCAAAATAAAAGGAGGGGAAAAAGGTAAGTGATAGAAGGGAAAGGGATCCCTAAGGGAAAATAATTTTACTACCTGTGGCTATGAGCTAAGCAATGAGGGGATGAAGGGGCCTGGACCCTGCATGTGCCTCCAAGCCAAGGAAAGGGTCCAGCCAAGCAATGGGAGGCAGATCTGAGTCCCAGGCCTGCCATTTGCTTACTGGCTCTTGGCCTAATAGTCTTCTTCTTGGGTGGGACTATATCAAATCAAGATGGGCTGGAGTGGTTATAGAACAGGACCATGGGGAGCTTCATAAGAATCATGATTTGGGGCTTCAACAGCAGCCTGAAGGTATTGATGTGCACTCGAGGCCAGAACCTTGCCCCTCGGGTTTCAGTGCTTCCAAGGACTTTCTGGCTCTGCAGAGGGTCATGGTCATCCCATTAACTCTTCCCAGTAGGAGAAAACGCTCAGTAATCTGCTTTCTCTTTGTTGGGGACTTTTGTTTGCTTGCTTGTCTTTGAGACAAGATCTTCTGCTGTATCCTGGGCTGGCCTCTAACTAATCATCCGCCTGTCTCAGCCTTCTGAGTGCTGGACTATAGGCTTATTAGAGCTTGGATCCTATCCACAGCTACTTAGCAAAACACAAGGCCTGAGAAATGATTGTTTTTCCATCTAGAACACCCAATAAGATGGAAGAAATCCTGGGGTGGGGGACTGACCAGGTAGAATACTCAGCCACAAAGGCTATGAAACACCCAATGGTGTTCCATGGCTGGTTAAGGTTCCAGGGGCATCAGCATCTGGGACAAATATCCCGCTACAGTGGTTAAGACAAAGATTCTGAGCTAGGCCTGTTGACACAGGCCCCTAATCTTAGCTACATTGGAGGCTAAGACAGGATTACAGATTCAAGGCCTGTCTGGGCTACAGAATGAGTTCAAAGCCAGCCTGGGCAACTTAGTGAAACCTTGTCTCAGAAAGCAGAAAGAAGGCTCAGAGCACTTGCCTACCATGGACCCCAAGGTTCAATCCCAGGTACCAAACACACATGCATGCACACAGCCATGCACGCCTAAAGTTTCTGTCAGTGATACGTACTTGCTGGTTTTATCCACACAATGAGATGCAGTTAGAACCCACCACTTACTGAGAATCGTTCCCCCACAGATATAGCTGCCGTTCTCCAGAATCCCCACCTGCCATGGGAAATCTATGATGTTTGCAGTTTCCCCACCCATGATAGCAGAAACATTTCTGCCTTCAGATCTGGAACTTATTCTTCGGCCACATGTTACTGAAAGAAAGAAGGAAAAGGAAGAAAGTGCTGGGCCCAGTTGTTAAGGCTGGCTGGCTTACAAGACACCTAAATACTAGGTGATGATGATAATGGAAATTGGTCTTTAATCAAACTGTCACTCATCAGATTGCTTCTGACTAATTTGTTCAGCAGTGCTTAGCAAGGTGGCATTTTGGGGGGACTTAGTAGACCAATCCATGCCCACCATAAGTCTCCCAGGTGTCCCCTGCTTATGTGTGTGTGTCACACTGGGTCCCACCTTCACTGTCAGTGGCTCTTGGGATGGTTCTGTGAGGCCTGTGAGGAGGGATACTCAAAACCACATGCCCTGCAGCCAATCTTGCTGTTGTTCCCAACTCAGGATGGGAATGTTTCTTCATTTAAATCATGCCTCACTGTCCCCTGAAAATCTAGCCCTAGGTCTAGTGTCTCAGCACCCGCAGTTACATTCTTCTCCTGGGCCCTGGATGTGTTTTCCTGGACTTTCCTAAAGGAAAGTCTTCCAGATTCCAGAACTTCAATGGGCAAAAGAAGATGGATTGGATTGGTCCCACTCACTGTCCAGTTCCCATTCTGTGTACCCTGTTGTGATTAGGGAAACCAAACTCATTCCGTTTTAATTTTAGAGATTATCCCAGTTCTCCCCAAGGAGAAAGATTTGGCATTTCCCATGTGACAAGATTCTTTTAACATATTTTCATGTTCTTTCAATATTTTTTTCACACATTTTTCCCTCCCCCTCCCCCTCCTCCTCCTGTTCCTCCTATTTTTCCTCCTCCTCCTGTTCTTCCTGTTCTTCCTCCTGCTGCTTCTGTCTTCCTCCTCTTCCCTCTTCTGCAGTGGATCAAATCCAGGGCCTGGTACATGCTACACAATCACCACCACTAAGCTACACCCCCTCTTCCAATATTATTTCAATTAAGAGAAAAATAACAAAATCTACAGTGTTGTATATTCACTGTTTACAAAGCTTTATCCTTTTTGCCTAACTTTTAAATTCTCACACTGACGATAAGCTATCATTACCATATTTGAAGGAGTGAGGCCTGAGGTTGAACTTTAAGCCAAGGCCCAACAGCTAGTATACAGCAGAGCTGGGGGCACAGGTAATGGTCTGACAGCAGTGGCATTCACATATTTCTCACAGCAAAGTACAATATTTCTGCTCCAGATTTCTCCTGTCACAACCCTATCACTCACATGTCACCAAGCCACAACCCTACGGCCCTACAATGCCATCACATACCCTCCCCCACAGAGGTACTCCACCACATGACCCACCACCACATACCCTACCCCAAAGGTCTCGACCAGACACTCCACCTGAGAACTCCATCACCACAGAACTTCACTAACATACCCTCTCACCACAGGATTCCACCACATAACCCCACTCATATAACCCTACCACCACATGATCTCACTACCACACAATGCCACCACCATACACCACAACCACCAAAGAACTCTACCAGAGAACTCCATCACCACAGAGCATCACTATCATATAACCCACCACCATTCGACTCCATCACACAATCCCACCACACAGTCCATCCTCACATAACCCCACCACACAACCCCACCACCACAGAATCCCACTACCACACAAACCCACCAACCATAAACCACAACCACCAAAGAATTCCACCACAGAACACCATCACCACAGAGCATCACTAACACACAACCTACCACCACATGACCCTACCACACATCCTTACAACACACACCCCACTGTTCACAAGCATCACTAACACTTGTGTCACCACCTCATATCACCACCCCACTAGCTACCAGCCGCCGCTTCTCCATCTCTCCATTTTTTCCCAACACCACTGGCCTTCTTTCAGCTTCCCAGAAGTATCCCATAACCTGCTACCTCAAGGCCTTTCCTGTGCCTCTAATCTGTACCTCCGAGTAGTAAATCACTCACATCTCAGCTCAATTATAAAGTCAGTTTTGTCGAGGTGAGTGTGCTATTATGTGTCTAAAATACCACTACTCAGGAGACTAAAGTGGGTGAAGCTGGAGTTTGAAGCAAGCCTGGGGCTATGAGGGAGAGAGAGAGATTCACCTTGCCTTATCATAGTATTGGTTTTATATTAGACATCTACTTTCTCCTCAGAATACTACCAACAGTTAAAGAACATTCGTTTGTAAACTGTTAAATCTGGGGGCTGAAGAGGTGGCTCAGTGGTTAAGAGAACTAGCTGCTCTTGCAGAGGACCTGGGTTCGATGCTCAGTGCCCACATGATGGCTAACAATTGTTGGTAACTCCAGTTCCAGGGGAATTTGACACCCTCTTCTGTCCTCCACGAGCATTGCACAACATGGGTGCACTTACGTACATGCAGGCAGCACACTCATGCACATAAAATTAAATGAATAAAATATTTTTAAAAACTTCCCTTTTGAAAGAGTTGTGTCTTTGCTCTGAAAATTGTTATTGAATATGTTAAGGCTGGAATGAAATGCTTCTTCTAATCATGTGGCTATTAAATAAAAGAAAATTAAGATACAGAAAAAAAAACTGTTCAAGTCTGTTTCTCTGAGTGTAATTTCCGTGAGAGCAGGACCCACATGTGACTGATTTTTATGTCCATATCACCAAGCTAAGAAGCTGGTGCACTGTGGGAATGCAGTACATAGTTATGGATATAGATGGATGGTATGTCTGGCTGGATAGGTAGATGACTAGGGTGAGCAGGTGGATAGGTGTGTGGGTAGATGCATGTCTAGATGGGTGTGTGGATGGCTGGGTGATCATTAAAGAGCATATCAATGGTAAAACAAAAAAATTCCTTTACCCAGCAGTGAGTGGCCCATATAGTGATCACGGAATTGAAGACCCTTACTTAGTTCAAGGACATTTTGAGTTCCAAAATCAGGAATCATGAGCTAGAGGGGAGTGCGTGGTCCACTGAGGTGCCGTCTCGTTTGCAGATGTGAAGAGGGAATCCAGGTATCCCTGCCTCATTTCCCTTCACACTTGGCCCCTTCCCAGTGGTAGCCCATGCACTACAAACACCTGATCTCAGATGGAAACACCTCATGTTTCAGGTCCACCAAGAGAAGCTTGGGATTACTACACAGCAGGGAAGCATCACAAATGCTTGTTTTAAATAACAGTTTGTGAATGTGTAAAGAAAATGATGTATTGGAAATCAGGTTGGGCTCACAATTAAAACGACTCATCATAATTGTCCCCCCCCCTCTGAAACATGGCAGCTGCCACCTGTTGAGCACCGTCTGAGTCAGCCTCTGTGTTGCATGTGCAAGGAAGAGATTCCTAATAATCTCAACAAACCTCCATGATGGGTTCTACCATTTCCACATTACAAGTGAAGAAATAAGCTCTGAAAGGCACCTAGTCACGTGAGCTCACGAAGCAGAGAGGGACTTAGAGCTAGGCATGACTGTTTCTGACCCCAGCTCCAACCCTCCCTTGCAAGTTCCTGTGGCATAGCATACTGCCTAGCCTGCCAGCTTTGATAAGAGCCTTAATTGGACAGCTGGAGTGTGATTTGGATGGCTGATCACTGAGGTGAACTTGAACTTGAGATGTTCTAGTCAACTATTGATTGTTGGGTCTCTTTAGAGGAAAGCTTTAAAGAATGGGGCATGTCCTCCTTAGCATTAACTGTCAACTTGACACTGTCTAGAAATCATCTGAAAAAGAACCTCACTTGAGTGGTTGTCTTTGTCAGTGGTCTGTGGGCATGTCTATGAGGGATTGTCTTAGCTGTCTTAATTGACGTAGGAGGGCCCAGCCCACTGTGGGTGGCTTCATTTCCTGGGCAGGCGGTCCTGGACTGTATAGGAAAGCTAGCTGACCATGAGTCTAGGAGCAAGTCAGAGAGCAAGCCAGCCAGCAGAATTCCTCCGTGGCCCCCACCTCTGGGTTTCTGCCTTGAGTTCTTGTCCTGACTTGCCTCACAGATGGACTGTGATGTGAACTGTGAACCAAATAAACCCTTTCCTCCCCCAAGTTGCTTTCGGTTAGAGAGTTTTATTATAGCAACAAAGGAACCCAGGACAGGGCGAATGAGCAAGCCTTTATCTGGCGCTGGGTCTAATCTCTGTCCTCTATGAGATCAGCTCTGAAGGTGTATCTTAACTTAGCAAAAGAGCACTAAGATCTGCCAGCGATTTCTGGTTAGGGTGGGTGGGCAGTGCTCAGATAGCGATGGGTCCCATGTCCCATAAGCTCTGAGAGACACCCCTCAAAATCAAATGGAAAGATCATTGAAGTCTTGGGATGGGGAGTGCATAGCCACACATGCTTCTGAACTGAGGAAAGACTGACATTACAAAGTGAACTTTGTAATGGACATGATCTTTCCAAATCTAGACCCATCAGTATCACTGTCAAGAAAGGACAGGGCTTGGGGGCCGGAGAGATGGCTCAGTGGTTAAGAGCACTGGCTGCTCTTGCAGAGGACCCAGGTTCAGATTCCAGCACCCCTATGGCAGCTAACAACCATCCATAACTCCAGTTCCAGGGGATCTGGCACCCTCTCCTGACCTCTGTGGGCATTACACAACACCTGTGCACTTAAATACATGCAGGCAATACACTCATACACAAAAAAATTAAAAAAATAATAGAAGGGACAGGATTGGAGATATGGCTCAGTTGGTAAAGTACATGTCATGCAAGCATGAGGATCCGAGTTCAGTCTCACAGAACCCACATAAAAAGCTAGGCACAGCAGTGTGCCTGGAACCCCAGTACTGGGGAAGGAAGATGCCTCCTGGGGCCTGTTGGCCAGCCAGTCTAACTGAATAAGTGAGCTCTAGGTTCAGTGCTCTGATAAGACTTGGCATGTCTGCATCCTGCAGGCTTCTTATCTCTGCTCTACACCCACTTACTCAATCCATTTATTCTGGCCTGTCTGCCTCTATGCCACAGTAGGCTCCTTACCTATACAGGGCCTTCACCCTGTGCTTACAAATAGATGCGGTGAGTGCAGGAAGGTCTTCATGATGAGCACAGTTTGACCGTCTATCCCCAGCCCTTCCATTGCATTAGCTTGTTGTGTTTGCATTACACCAAGTTATAGGAACGAAAGCCGACATTGTCAGCTCTTGGGTTATGTTGCCGTTGTTGTCTGTGGCAATGGGGAGTGAATGTAGGGCTCCTTTCATGCTAGGTAAGTGCTCTACCACTAAGCTAACTTTTCAAGCCCTCTGTTTACTTTTTATTTGGAGGCAGGGTCTCACTAATTTGCCCAGACTAGCCTTGAACCCAAGATCCTCCTGACTCATCGTCCTCCTTAGAAGCTGGATTGAAGCTTGTCAACTGCCCAGCTCTCATTTGTGCTTAAGACTTGCTCCCCGTTACCAGATAGTGTACAGCTCCCGAGGAGGAATCCAAACTGTCCTTCTCTGCTGTAAACTCAGCTTCTAAAACAGCAGCCCCCTGTAGCAAGGGTTTGAAATTTGTTGGCCAACCAGTTGACTGACCACAGCTGCGAGCATTCTCAGCAGTTCAGCCTGGAGCTCATCACGGGGGTACTAATGCCCCACCTTGTTTGGGTACTGTGGCATGGTGGCTTTGCATCAGACCCTTCAGAAAATTTCAGCATGGTGACAACATGAAGAAACTCTCTGAAGATCCCACTGACCTTATGCTTTCTTGGTGTGGCCAATGGGCATCTCTGACCTAACAGCTGGTTACCTTTTATGAAATGTATCCTGGTGTGGCCATTCACTCTGGGAAACTTTAGCACCTACTTATATAGTCACACACACACACACACACACACACACACACACACACACACAGAGCTCTCCCCTAGGCAACTTTAAAGTGTGGGTATCATGGAGTCTCTGTGATCATCTGGTCAGGGACCAATTGTTTAAGGGGCCTCTTGGCAAAGCAGAACCCAAATCCCATCCCACGACTACTGAATCAGCACCACTAGGAACTGGCCTTTGAAACTAGCTCCGGGGTGATTCTGTTGCCCACTGGGGATTGAAGCCTCTTGTAAGACATAGCCCACAGGACCCCCACCCCAGAGACCTACATGCCAGTGAGCTGTGTGCCCAGGGCAGCAATAGGGCAACTGGCAGCAGGAGCCCAGCTCTTCCAGATCCCTGCATCTTTTCATCAGCTTGGCCTCCACATCAGCAGTGGGGAACTTGCAATAAGGCAGGTGGGTGGAGGGAGGGGCCTAGCTGACCACTGAGATCACAATGGACTTGGGTGGAGCAGGCACGGCCCAAAGCCTCCTGGAAGTGGAGGACAGGGAGGGTGTGATGACAAGGGTGACAGGTGATAGAGTGGGAGAATTCCGTGGACAGTGGTGCTCCTGAAATGTGCCAAGGCGGAATGGCCAAAGGCATGGCCTTTGCTAATGAGAAGGAAGCTGAGTTTCTAGTCCAAACAAGTCAAGGACACAGCAGAGAGACAGGAGCTTCTGTCACCAGTAGGACCTTAGGAGAGTCATTTAACTTGGAGTCTCCCATACAGAGTATTGAAAGAATTAGTGAATACCTGCATTCGAGCACAGGACCTGGCAGACGCCAAGCCTGTGACGGAATTCTCCAAGTTCACTACCACCACCATGTCTTCCTTCAAAGACAGCACCTGACCAGCAGCTCCTCTGAACAGAAACTCATGAGGTGCAGCCATGAGGGACCTGCTATACCATGGCTAGGCTGGAGCGTATCTGAATTTCTCACTCGCGGTGTCATCGAGCCCCCTGTGGAGAATTTATTTTTATTAATATTTTATTGATTCTTTGAGAGCACAATATATTTTGATCATATTCAGACCCCCTCCCCCACCCTCCCTGACTTCATGTCCTCTATTATTGTTTTTTTTAAAGGCTTATCTAGTCTAATTTGGGTTCCCCAACTAAATTTTGGGTGTGACTCTATCCCTTGGAGTCTGGTCAACCTATAGGCTTTACACGCTTAATCAAAGTGTCTCCCTCTCCAAGCTGCTATCAATGAATTGCCAATAATTCCTCAGCTAGGGCTTCTTGCTCACCTCCCCCCTCCATGCTGGGTTTGGGTTTGAGTTGGGCTTACATAGGTCTTGTGCATGTTGTCACAAGCATTGTGGGTTTGTGTGTACAACTGCCCTGATGTGTCCAGACAACATGGTTTCCTTGTATTCATCCACCACCTCTGGCTCTTAAATCTTTCCACCCTGTCTTCCGCAATGATCCCAGAGTCTTGGGAGGAGAGAGTATGAGATAGGTTGTCCCATTTAGGGCCAAGCTCTTCTATGGAGATGATGCCTGGGCAACAGCAGATATTCTCTGACCTCTTGAAGTGCCTTCATCTAGGATAAATACAGGGTCAAAGAGAATACCTTAACACAGGGGAGTAAGGATGTCCTTGGGAGTCAGGGGAGGGATGCTGTACGTGGTGGGAAGGGACCGTGAGGCAGAGCTCTCTACAGGAAGAAGCCAGGTCTAGAAGTGGCCTAGGGAAAGGGTAGGAGGCATTTGCTATAGATAAAACTACATCCTTTAAATTTCCTGTGACTGGGGGCAACTTGATCCATTAAACTGCTTGTGAGCACAAGGACCTGAGTTTGAATCCCCAGAACCCAAATAAAAATAAAAGCTGGGTATAGTACCTTGTAATCCCAGTGCTAGGGAGGCAGAGGCAGAGGCAAGCAGACCCTTGGGGCTCTATGGCCTGTAAACCTAGCCTTACTTGGTGAGTTTCAGGCCAATGGCAGACCCTGTTTCAATAAAGATGGATGGTATCTCAGGAACAACACCCAAAGTTGGCGTCTCGCCTCTACCCACATGTGTATGCTCACTCGCACACATGCACCTCTACATACACACACACACACACACACACACACACACACACACATTTCCCATGTATGAGTACCAGTCACAGAGCTCAGAAAGTGACCTATTTCAGAAGTAAGGTCACTATAGGTGGGATGAATTAAGATGAAGCCATGTTGGAGCAGGTGGCCCATATCCCAACCCAACATGACTTGCATCCTTATAAAAAAAAAAAAAGTAAACTTTAGACACACAGAGAAAAGTCTGTGTGAAGAATAGAGGTATGTTATCACAAGCAGGTGACCACTAGGATCCCAGGAGAGAGAGAGAGAGAGAGAGAGAGAGAGAGAGAGAGAGAGAGAAGAGAGGAGAAAGAAAGAGAGAGTCTGTACCTACAGCAGGCCCTTTCCTGGCAGTCCAAGACAGTGTGGGAAGCCTGTAGGCACTGTGGGTTTGGACTTCGTGTCCCCAGACTCCAGGCAATACTTACTGGTGTTCTAAGGCACCCAGTTGTATGGAACTTGGGCCCAGCAGCTCAGGGAAGATAACACCGATTGACAGAAAACATGTATCAAGGTACAGAGAGCATGAGAGCAGCAGAAACTTTTAAAGTTGTACAGAATTGCTGTTTGATTGACTTGAGAATAGCAGGACATTGCAGTTTTGCTTATGTCAAGCTAAACTGTTGGACTAATATATGTGGCTGAGCAGTACAGGGCCAACTGAATAAAACTCAGGTCTGGATAAGCAGCTTCCCTACTCTGTGATCACCACATGATTCTCATAAGATGAGATGGGTATGTTCCCAACTGTTATCACTGGGGATTGGTGAGGAGCTATAGGTGTTTCCAAAGGTCTATAGAGCAGGGATTTCTGCCTAAGGGAAAATCACTACATAACATCTTTTCCCCCTAGATATTTTGAGGCTTTAAAATGTCTCATTAAAACTCTTGGAAATGGGGCTGGCAAGATGGCTCAGCAGGTAAAGTGCTTGTTGCCAAGCCTGATGACCTGAGTTTGATCTCAGAGATCCACATAGTAGCAGGAGAGAATTGACTCCAACAAGTTGTTCTCTGATCTCCATACTCATACACATATAAATGATAGATAGATAGATAGATAGATAGATAGATAGATAGATAGATGATACATACATACATACATGCATGCATACATGCATACATACATACATACATACATGCATACATGCATACATAAATGTAAAGTTCATGTTTTGGGATGTGGAACATTTCTAACACTGCTCAGGGCTGTAAGCTGAGCACTGGAATTCTTCAACTAGGCTCCTACATTTTCACTGCCTGGTGGAGGCCTGATGTGGGGGAGAAACTCTCTCCCTCTGTTCCCTAGTTTTTGTGAGGTGCTTCATCAGAGAAGAAGTAGCTGGCCAGCAACTACAAAAGGGTGTCGGAACCCATATACAGCCCTGAGCCGTTTCTAGGGTAAGGTTTTATACAGAAAAAACATTACCAGCGGTGAAAACTTTTAATTTCCCAAGCTTACAGGTAGAGACCCACCTTAACAATTTCTATTCTATTAAGCAACAATTACTATTTTTCAGAAGCAAGCCAAACACAACCTACAGAAGCCTTAAATCTTCAGTTAGCAGGTCCACTTCGAGACACTCTGATCTGCTCCCAAGATAACCTGAGATCCTAATGATGTGTGTTCCCATACCCTGGGCCAACTGCCTGATAATTTCAGAGATTAGAGTCAGCCTAAACTTTAACATGGGTGTAGTTATGGTCAAGAAGGTGCCATATCACAAGTTTAGTAGGACAAAACACCTTGTGGCTAACACTTTTTGCAAACTCTTGGGTCCTGGGGGGCACATGTGGGATAGAGCAAGCTATCCATAGAGCATTCCAAAGAGTACCCATATACCTGCCACCCAGGTTCATTGCATAGCTCCCATGGGGGCCCCAGGTTTCAGAAAGGCAGAACACCATATATATCTATATCTATATATCTA